CCCCCCCCCCCCCCCCCCCCCCCCCCTCTGTGTCACAGTTTTCATAAGGCAGATTTATGTTATTTAGGTTCATAAGCTTTAGAAACAACTTCTTGTTGTAGCTCAACAGCTATTTTTATTTACGTGAAGGTTAGAGAAGCAGACTTGGACATGTTCGTAACCTCTTCTTGTCTTCTGTCTCAGGTGCGTTTCCCATCTCACTTCAGTTCAGACCTGAAGGACCTCCTGAGGAACCTGTTACAGGTGAGATAGTTGCTATCTCAGTCATTCTGAGGTTGAGGCTACCTTTACTCTGCTGTGTGTGCTGAACAAGTGAGGCAAATGTTATTGGTGTTATCCTCAGGTGGATCTAACAAAACGTTTCGGGAACCTCAAGAACGGGGTCAACGACATCAAGGGACACAAATGGTTTGCGACCACTGACTGGATTGCCATCTACCAGAAAAAGGTAAGTGTGTCTGTGAGTGCACGGATGCCTTGACTTTTCTTCTGTAAAGTTCACTTCTCACTTCTGCTGTTTTTTCGTCATCTTCAGGTGGAAGCTCCCTTCGTCCCCAAGTTCAAAGGGCCAGGGGACACGAGCAACTTCGATGACTACGAGGAGGAGGAGATCCGCGTCTCCTTCAATGAGAAATGTGCCAAGGAGTTTGCGGAGTTCTAGAGTTAGAGGGCGAGAGAGGAAGGCAGTAGGGAGAGTCAAAGGTAGGCTGGTCAAGTGGGAGACATAAGGAGAGAGTCTCCTGTCCAATCACAAGCACCAGCTACAACAAGAGGGGGGGGGGGGGGTAATGGGATAGAGAAGGGAAAAAGAGCAAGGAGACTGATAACCAGCAGTGTTGCCTTTTCTGTTGCGTTTCTGTTGTATTTTATTTATGATTCTGTCTTATTTATGGATCCCTTTATAATGAAGGTGTGCTTCAGATTCAAGGGTGTTGGGAACCCCACTTATTTAGAGTTGCCTCTACACATTTTTCACCCAAGATCTTCCCGGCTCTTTTATTGTTTCATTCATCATTGAATCACTTTTGGGCCACATCACAGAGAAATCAGTCCGTCTGTTCGAGTCTCCTGCGGTCTGTTGTTCATCACATCTCCGAAAGCCCATAGAGTCGATCAAGTTGAGGTCTCAGTCTGCACAAACGTTTCTTCAATTTAAACTGATAACTGGCTAGCTAGCTCTCTCTCTCTCTCTCTCTCTCTCTCTCTCTCTCTCTCTCTCTCTCTGGTGAGCAGGAGGAGCATTTAAGTGAACATTTGAATGAATCACACTCATATGCACTTAAAGAAGTTTTGTCATTTATTCTTTAAGTATTTAAACTTTTACCGTTTCATATCGTAGACATCGTACCTCGAGTCACCGGCATGATTGGCCAAAAAGAAAAACATAAAGATGATGCATTGTCTGCTCAAACAAGTCGGGGTCAGAGACAGATGACCCTTCAGGGGGAAGAAGTCGGTTAAGTTTACTGTGTAACTCCATCTATACTTCTTATCTCCGTTAGCATAGCCAGGCTTTGTGCACTCAATTTTTAAATGTCACTAGATACTAGTCGCTCCAATTATTTCACGTCACGCAAACAAACAAGGAAATTTGGATACGGGAACGTAAATATCTCAGTTTCAATAGTGTCGTGAAGGAACACCACAACATAATGGTATCTCAGGTTTGAACATATCACTTAATAAGACATTTTATCAACATTAAGCATTAGGATCAGCAGGTCAAGAAGATGTGTGAGACACTTGCTTAGAGTTTGGAATTTAAAGTTCTGGTTCGCACTAAGAGGAACAAAAGGGAATAATAAGACTTTTAGTTCGGGTATTCCACAATTTTCCCTTCCAGAGGATTTGGTTTTGCTAACTGGACAACTCTGTCTGGTCTCAAAAGCACTCGCTGTCTCTGCTCAGAGCTCATCTACTAGTCAAGCTGATGCAGCATTTCGAATTAACCAATTGGCCCTTGCCTACTCCAGTTTAGAAGAGACCATCCGAGGCGGACGACCTCAAACTGCTCCTGGCTGGTGGTCACTGGAGCACGTTGAGCAGTCATTGTATCGGTGGTCTGGAGGGTCTTTTATAGACACCTGTGTTCATCTCCACAGCACTCTCACTCCATGTGACAGTCTTTCGTGTGCCAGCAGCTCTATTCCCATCGCTGTGTTTACAGGCACAGTTTTTGTTTAATTCAGTTTTTTTTCATGTGGTGATGATGTAAAGATGACTCCATTGAAGAAGTTAGGAAAAGGTAGAAGAGTTGAATAGAGCTAGTGCTGAGAAGAGACGAGGAAGATCTCAGTGCACAGTATACAAGCTGCCTGTTTTACAGTGCGCCACACATAGCACATCAGGTGTTCAATGCCTAATCAGCACCTGAGCTGTGATGGAAAAGTACTTGTAGGATTTGGTCTTTCAGAATTTATAAATAGCGTCTATTTCAAACATTCAAATACCTTCTTCACAGCTGTGTTTTAATGTGCCACCATAATGAAGATAATCTATTTTGGTTCAAACAGGCGCTCTGGTTTTTCTCTGGTTTTATTGGAACGAGTCCTTCCTGTCCAAAAGAAGTTCAGATACTCGGAAATGTAACGAGCTTTTTCTCAAAATTACATATTTGTAACGTGTTATTGTGTGTGTGTGTGTGTGTATAAATCCAATGATACACACACAATTTAATTTATAGTCTCGTGAAATTTAAAATGACCTACCATCCAGGAATGTTTACGGTGGGCTTAAATGACCTGTTTCAGATCATTTTTAGATCCATGTGGCCCAACGTCCATAGCAGGATCAACCAGCTACGGTTAACCCTAGTACCCCACCATTCCTCCCTCTGTCTGTACAGTATGTGCAGTGTCACTATGCTGGAATATGACATGGCCCCAGGTGTACTCTGTCCTAATTTGATTTAAACAAATGAATTGAGGAATATGCACACATGACTAAATGGAGGCCTTAAAGGGCCAGTGATTCAGTAGAGCACCTGCAAGAGACTTGGAGGCCTAGATATCCTAAAGATGATGCCGTGTTCAGGTGGGATGGATGGTTTGACAACTTCACAGGCTGAGGTGTAGTCCACTTGAGTAGTAGACTGACTTTGGCATGTACAATCGATTGGGAGTTGGCAGTTGGCCTCTTTGCCCGGTTGGTAATCTAGCCTCGGCAATGTCCAGTAAAACGTTTTTTTGACCGATTGGTTTTCTATTAAAGAAAGAGTCTCACACACACACACACACACACACACAAGGCAACCAACTCCTGACCAAAAGGGTTCGTCCCCTCTCCGCTATACCCCTACTTTTCATTTTCTTTCTCATTGAGAGAGGTGGAAAAACATTTCATTGATCAATCTGAAGTCATATCGGCAGATCGATGGTGGCAAGAGCTACAAGGTGGATGCACACCCACTTGTAGTTATGCTGGCTTATTGGATATGATGGACTATTTTTCCAACCTTTTATTATTATTATTATTATTATTATTAATATTATTATGACATTGTTGTAAACCACTTGTTTCACATTCGCTGTATTTCCTCCATGTCGAGTTTAATGTTGACATAATTGAAGTTATGATACAATATTATTCCCCGTCTCCTCGATGTTTTTTGCAGTGATACAACTTCCTCTCGATGCAGGCACAATGCTGGTACATACTGTCGCACTTTTTAGGGAAACGAGACCCCGATGTAAACCATGTTAACCCCGCAACACACACACACACACACACATACACACTGCAAGGGGAAGCGTCTAAAGTCACGGGAGCAGTGACATAAAAACACGAAGTGTAATATTTTGCAACATGAGTATCATTCCAATAAAGTTTTACTTGTAAAATTCGACTGAACTTGTGTGTGCCTCCTGGATGTCTGTTCATTTGACTGTTCAGCGGCTGCAAGTTTAGGAAAGGGTGAATTGTAGATGACATATTTTAAATGTAGGCAGCGTGAGTGTTGCCTGGAGGTCAGACATCCATCACTGCCGCCTGATGCGGAATGGAGCCGTCACCAACCCATCTGTTGACCGCCCGGCTCAATGTGATTCGCCAAAACGCTTAAAATCACGACGTTCAATCGCAAAATCATCTCCTCCGCTCCCTGCCTGGACTGCGTATCGTTGTTTCTTTGTGTTAAAATCAGATGTTATAATCTGCGGGCTGATCAGATCGAGACTGCGAACAAAGAGCAGAGCTCCGATGGAGTAAAAACCAGCCGATTCCACCTTAAATGTCATTTGCGTCTGTGGCGGAGACCTAGGCGCCATCTTCGGTCCACCTTAAGCGCACAATGTGGCCAACGAACGAAAGCGTACCAGCCAGGCTTCCGTCCTCATTCTCCAGCCGGGGGATCGCACTCTGGCTTCCCAGCTTTGACACAGCGTCACTTGTGAAACAGCAGAGGGGGAAGAAAAGACGCACTTGGGCCAAACCCCACCAGCAAGAGAAGATGTCCGAGCCCAATAAGTACCGAGAGTGGATCCTGGAAACAATCGACTCTCTCCGCTCGAGGAAAGCCCGTCCGGATCTGGAGAGGATTTGTCGAATGGTCCGGAGACGACACGGGTCAGACCCGGACCGAACCAGGACAGAACTGGAAAAACTGATTCAAGAGCAGACGGTGCTCAAAGTTAGCTACAAGGGGTCCATATCGTACCGGAATGCGGCGAAGGTGCAGAGGAAAAGCAGAAAGAAGAGTGAGTTCACGGCCGCTGGCGGCAGCAGCAGCAGCAGCAGCGCGGAGGCAGCGAGGGAGCGGACCAAACACGACCATCTGAACAACAACGGCGACAGTGCGCACAGCTTCACCGACCAGGAGGAGGGCGAGGAGGACTCGGAGCCCAGCCCGGAGCCCCACACCCTAACATCGGCCAGCACCACCGACAACAAGCTCAAGCCTGCCTCCAGCCCGAGTAGCGGAAACGGGTGCCTCATTTGTGGCGCAACAACGGGCTGCGCTGTCGGGAGCGGCTGTGAAGGGGAGAAAGCAAGTGCACCGAGAGACAAGGGATTAGGACCGCAGGGAGCGGGGGACTGCCCATCGCCCGCTCTGAGTCACAGAACAAGCGCACCCGACAGCGGTGATGCAAGCGGGATAACACCGAGCACCGCCGAGGCAGCTCCTGGAGAGACGGAGCCGCGTTTGTCAAGAGATGACACCCAGGACAAAACTTGCTCAGGGAGCGTCAGCAACCTCCCGCAGCAGCAGCAGCAGCAACAGAGACAGAAGCAGACTATGCCCCTTAAGCCCAAAGTTCGAGTCGGAGGAGGGGGAACCAGAACAGCGGGGAACCACGCCAACTCCGACCTGGGCGACAGATTGGTGGCTTCTGTTCGCAGCCTGTCCGAGAAAAGCACCCGAGGGGGCTCCGCCGCCGCGACCAGAGGCCACACGAAGCCGCTCGGGCTGAAGGAGATTTTGGGCTTTCTGAGCAGCCAGGAGCGGCTGTCGGAGGAGAAGCTGACTCGAGGCAAAGTCAAAGTGGTCATGGAGAGAGAGGTGGCGAGGGGCAGACTGCGCAGGACCCGCTGCGGGAACATTACTCTTCCTCTGAGGGGGGTGGTGGCGGAGGAGCCGAAGAATGCGTCCGCTGACAGACTTGTAAAGAGCGCACTGCAGGACGAGCACGCAGGGAGAAAGGTGGGCACCGCTAACTTAATATGTCCAACACGTCCCGGTTACACAGGGCGCCGAACGGCGCTCGTGTCTCGGCTTGCTGAGACATTATGAGCTGTTAAAATCGCACGCACGGCACCAGGACGCGCCTTCCTTTACCAACATGTTTTGTTTTCTTTCTTGGTCAATGTTTTAGGCGACATGCAAAAGTGTTTGAGGAGATCACATCAAGGGAGATTAATTGTTGTTTCTGTAATTTGTCGGCGGGATGTGGCTGTGCCTGTGTTGCGTTTGCGTTGTGTGTGTGCGCGCGTGTACGCGTGGCTCCGCTTCCTGCACAAAAGGTGCGGGTTACACAGGGCTGCCGGAGCAGACGGCTCCGGAGCGGCTCCCCCCCCCCCCCGGCACCCTGGATGAGCGCGCGCACACCATAAAAGAGCGTCTTCCGCGTGGCGCGAGCTGGTTGTGTTGCCGTTGCCACATCACTATTCGGGGGTTCATAACATTTCGTCTCTGCTCTCAGGAACTTAAGCCGCGCGGAACAGAGCGCGGGGTGTCCGGGCCTGCCGCGCGGTGTAGGCGGTGTCTGTCTAAACTCATGTGGGCGCTGCTCTGTCGCGCAGGCCAGCGGAGGAATCAGCCCAAACAGCTGAGCACCGTGTTTGTCAGCCTCTACCCTGTAACCCCGGAGCTTTGTGTTTCTCCACCCCTCGTCATACCCGCATCTCTCATTTCGTGCCTCATTAAATCCTTTGTGTCATTTCTGATACTCTCCTCCCTCACATGGTGGGTGCAGACTTGAGTAGGCTACAGTAGTCGGCTATCGTTATTTCAGATTTCTGTTTCCCCAAGTGGGCGGTGTTTGTCCTCCAGCCCACTCTACGCTCTGTGTTAAGCGCACTCTGCAGCCTGACTCAGGTGTTGCCCACCGGTGTCCGGTGGGGGAACAAGGTGTGCTTGAATTGCCTTCATACAACTTTATCTGTCATTGCAGCCGCCGTCCCCCTCTCTCCCGGAGAATGAGCCGATGGAAACAGCCAGTGAAGAGGAGGAACGGGATGAGGAAGAGGAGGAAGAGGAGGAGGATCCCCGGAGTTCTGATGAGGAGGCGGGAGGACTATCCCCGGTAGCCATGACTACCGAACCAGAGCTCATTGAGAAAACCACAGAAGAAGTTGAGATCCCAGAGCACGAGAGCCCTCAGCAGCAGCAGCACGGGGGCAAAAGTGTGTGTGTATGAACGTGTGTGCGTGCGCGTGCATGAACGTGCGGCTAGGCAAGGCTGATTAAAGGCCCTAATTAACGCTGGTAACCTTCCGCTGGTGATCGCAAGGCCACTATCATGACCGCTTACTGCTGCTTCACCTACAAGTACCTGAGTGCTTTTGTTTTATTTGTTGTCTATTAATTGGAATTAAGCGCTTTTGTAAGAAAATGATTAATAACGTTAACTAATACCTTCAATTTTGATTTAAATAATGAGTTCACTATTGTCACCAACTTTATTAATGGTTTTTTTTTATATCACTGTTTTGATCAAACCTAAATAAATTTCCTAAATAATTTGGACATTAATTCTATTATAAATTATAAATGTACTACTACTGCTGCTGCTACCAACAACAATAATAATAATAACAATAATAAAAGATAAAGTCTTTGATCTTTTCCCTCTTCCATCTTGGTTCGGCTGCTGCTCTCACAGGGATGTGCGGGCTTGATTCCGTCACCAGGACGCCACGTCTACCTGTTCAGGGAGCTTCGCTGTCACAATGTAACAGCGCACACTTGGAGGACAGAGCTGTGGTCTCTGATCAGCTACATATGGAGGCACAAGTAAGTGCAAGAACATGCATCTGTCCTGATGATTTTTATTGATGGATGATGTTCCATACATCATCAAAACAGGTCAAAATGTACTCTGAAGCCAACCATGAAATGCACCATCCTATGTTAGAGTCTGACTGGCCTTTGTTGCATCTCTCCTGTCATCTCAATACTTCTGTCTTTGCATCCACATCAACACTAAAAATTCAGCCATGATTTGTTGTCATGCTCACGTATTTGCTTCTCTGTTTGACCCCCCCCTCTCCTCTCTACATACAGAGCCAGAGGCAGCATGACAGAATCAACCACATCTCCTCAGACCTCAACAGTGAGTGCTTTACAGATCAGCTCAAAATGTCTGTGTGTTTGGTGGCTGGCGGCGGCGACATGTAATCAGACTGTGCTTTGGTGTTCCCACCGTAGGCTTGGAGTCTAAAACGGAAGTCGGCGTGTCGTCCTGCCTGCTCACACCCACTGCGTCTCCGAGAGACTCCGGCACGTCTGAGGAACGAGGGATGGACGGAGGAGGAGGAGGAGGAGGAGGAGGAGGGTGAGTACAGCAGAGATGCTGGAGACACTGAAGACGCAGGTTCATTGGGTTGGCTTGCTTGCCTTTTTGGATCTGTTACAAAGTCTACCCTGCAGTTACAGAGCAATTTGGAGTCATGTGTGTGTCCACCTGATGAAGTACAATAATCCCTCTGATTTCGACTCCTGAGGGAAATATCTGTCTCTTCAGCTGTTCTCCACCATGTTCAGCATCTAGTCTCTCACTGTGTCTGTCTGCAGTTTGGAGCTCAGCAGGTAGTTAGGGGGTCTTTAAGAGATTTATTTTATGCTATGAAGTGCTGACAGTGAACCAAAACAGTGAGCTGAAACTCTCTATAACGCTCTGTAGAGCTGAGGGGAGCTGCAGATTCTGTAAGAAAATATTGATGATAGCCGCTTTTAAATAAAGTGAAACAAAGTCTGGCCATTCAATATTATTTAGAACTTAATATCTGCTGTTTACACTAACAATGATACAGTGTAAACTCAAGGTTCATGGTTTGATTATTCCATCAGTGAAAACATGGAAGTCACACTGTCCCATTCTAATATACCAGCACTAAATACCATAAAAAAGGGAATGAACAGTCATTAAACCCAACAAAAAAAAAACTACATTTCTTAATTAAAATGTCAGCTCTGACATAACGTTCCGAGTTTACGATTTCAACATCCCCTGCCGGTTTTGTAATGGGCCAACCGCACCTCTTCCTCACCTCCCTAGGTTTATGAAGTCTGAGGGGGCCAGTGGGGGCCCAGTGGACTGGACAGTGTCTGATGTGGTCACTTATTTCACAGCAGCAGGTTTCCCTGAACAGGCTGCTGCCTTCAGGACCCAGGTGAGCCTGTAATCCCTTTAACAAACACCAGAGGCCACCAGAGACAGCGTTACTGGCTGCACTTGAACCTTTAACAGTTGTAACCTTCATCAACTGACTGCATTGCTTTGCTCTCTTCATTAGGAAATCGATGGCAAGTCTCTTCTCCTCATGCAGCGTAACGACGTATTGACTGGCCTGTCAATCAGACTCGGGCCCGCCCTCAAGATCTATGAGCGTCATGTAAAGGTTCTGCAGAAAACACACTTTGAGGACGACGACTGTTAATGACCGTTATGTCTGTATTTACGTATAGCTCAAGTAATCCTATGAATATGCATGCATGATATATACGCTTCACTTCTCATCTCATGTCAAACAGCACACACACACACACACACACACACACACACACACACACACACACACACACACCTCTGTTTCTCTTCCTCTGGCCCTCTAAACTGTTCTGGTCCAGAAACGACACACAGAAATGAGACTGGATGGACAACAAGGATTTCCTACCAAACAGAGCACAATACTTTGAGGGAGAAAGCAGACTCGTACAATCTTAAGATGCAGAGGTTAAAAAAAAAAAAAAAAGTATCTTTTTTTATTTACAATGATCAAGCACTTTGCCATTTCTTGACTAAACCGTGCAGAATGGTTTGTTTTTCGACTTTTGTCTTGTGCGGACCTTGATGCACATTTTGAAAGAGGTCGTGGTTATTCTGTGTGGGAGTACATTTCCTTTTTTCGAGGCTTTAATTCAAGGGTTTCTCGTTTGTCATTGTACACAGACTGTATGTGTGTGGAGGCATCACGGAGCACGTCGGATTGAGCAGAAACGTATAAGAAATTGACCAGATGAAATACATTCTCAGAAGCTGGATGGACCCGTCATAGTCGTCCTGTATATATCGAGAGACAATCTTGTGCCGGGTTCACGGCCTTTTGCAAACGGGTGTTGGTCAACGCAATAAGTTGATAGCTCCTCCTAGATGTTTGAGAGGTTGTTGAATCTTAAGCTCTCAGATCGACAGCTTGTTTTTGTGTATCTTAGTGACATTCAGTTTTTAACAATGTTTTTAAGCAGCGCTAGCCATGATCTGTTCTGGCCTATGCAACACCCGAGGGGACGGTTTCACAAAGACAGACTTTGACGGTGGCTGAGATCAAACCAGTCAGACTCCGGAGTTCAATTCATCCGCTGCACGAAGCTTAAGTAGGGATACATATTTGCAATGAATTGTGGGTACATTTTGTGGGTACATTGTTCTGTCGTTTGGTGCCACTGGTCAGCAGGTGTCACTGATTGTTACCATGTTCATAGTTAGCTTGGGGTTAGTGTGGCTGAGATTTTAGGCTTAAAATATGCATTAATGTAAAGTCTAACACTCCAGGTCTGAAGTATCTTTGTGAAACTTTCCTCAGAGTCTGGTGCAGACATTTTCATCAGACACGCCAGCTAACTGGTCTGAAATCAGCAGAACAATCAACTCTCATCTGAGTGTAAATATATTGAAAGTAAGTCAGTTTAATCAGCCTCCATCAGTAAATTATTAGAAAACAATTATCTAACTGAAAGATGTTGTCGCCGGGTAAAGCTGAGTCAGTCAACCAACTAATCTCATCCCACCAGCTTCAAACGTTAAAAACCAAATGATCACACATCTCATTCCCACCTTCACTGTAACGTCATACATTCCAGCTTCGGCATCTCTTTTGTGCATGAATTATCAAATGACTTTTTTTCCCTCATATTTGTACATTTATATTTCTGTATTCAGCATATTTGTTTCATTTTGTGAATGTTTTCAATCCACTCTCCACACACTGACCTCGTCTACCTCTTTCTCCTCTCGTTCCTTCATTTTCTTTGCAACTTCCATCAACATTTTTTCATTACACTTAGTCTACGGTGCATGTTTCAGTGTTTGTCATTAGTTAAATCTGTAGGAGGGGGGGCAGCTGTGTGTGAGTCCGGATGCTCACAAGAGGAATGTACAGTGTGTCTGAAGGTATATGTGAAAGGACAATTTTAGTAATAAAAGTTTGAATCAAAACACCACAATGTGTCCATTCTGAGTGTGTGTGAACAAGTGTTGCATGAACTGTATAAACAGTGTTTGTGTATGATTGTGTGTCTGTGTGTACCAGACACACATGTGCATATGTGTGAGGGAGGGAATCCAACAACACAGCAGCCGGGTTCCCCTCAGTCACAGGAAAGACCGTACTGTGTTTCAGAAAAGAACGGACTATCCAGACGAGACAGACTATAAGTCTGTTCTTTTGGAAAATAGGCTCCATACACCATTTATTTTGACAGTAAATAATTCACAGTAAGTCGGAACGTGTTCTCTGTGTGCCTGCATTTGCTGGTAAGAAGCAGGGGGAGGAGGAAATATCACTCTATATCTGTCCTGGGACACTCTCCAAGGTAAGTGCTTGGGATATGTGTGTGAGTGTAGAAAGTGTTTGTGTGTGCACACGATGGGGTTACAAATAACACGGGCATATTTATACCTCCACTGATAAACAGACTGCTGCTCCCACAAACATGGTGGTTGTAGGCAACAGACGAAAAAGAAAAGACTGAGACTGCTGGGAACTTCAGGGCTCCAGGAAGGACCGCAGATCCGATCCGGCAGAACCTGAAACCGATGACACCGATCACAGCCGGAATCAGACCACACGAAATCGGCTCCTGAATACAACACAGCAAACGACAGCGAGGGAGCAGATCTTGGTGTGAGAAAGGATATCTGACGGGACAAAGGAGAGCAGTCATGCCAGGCTCAGGAGGAGCAGAGTGAGTGACAGCTGCATGTGTACAGTTTTTGTGTGTGTGTGTGTGGATATGCATATTTTATCCAGTAAATGTTTGCTTCACAAATCTGGTTCTAACTTGTAAATTATGCAAATTGCATGTGCAGTTGATCAGGTTTTTAAAACTACAGAATATTTTTTACATCACCTCAAAACTATTGATAAGTTAACAAGATTTGTTTTACGTGTAGAGGCCCATAGAGTTGCTACGTGCTGAGCCAAAGAGAGTCTAAATACAGCTCAGTGGCGCATGAGGAAATATGAGCTACAAGTGCAAAGACTGCATGTTCAGAGAGTCGTGTGTCTCTTGTTTTCGAAGCTCAAAGGGAGAAGATTTCTCCACTGCCATCCTAAAGCAGAAACACAGACCTAACAGACTCATTGTGGACGAAGCTCTCAATGAAGACAGCAGCATTGTCAGCCTGTCACAGGTCTGTGTGTGTGTTCTGTGGGGGGTTACAAATATATATATATATATATATATATATATATATATCCTAGTGTGTTTGTATTTCTTCTGAGGGTTTTGTGTTTGCACTAGAATAAGACAGAGGAGCTGCAGCTCTTCCGGGGGGACACGGTGGTGTTGAGAGGGAGGAAGCGTCGCGAGGCGGTGTGCATTGTCCTGAATGACGACTCCTGTGGACATGGGAGAATACGCATGACTCGTGTGACGCGCAGCAACCTGCGTGTCCGGCTCGGTGATGTCATCAGGTAGATTTCGCACCTGTGCCGTTGTGTGTGTGGTATGGAGTCACATGTGAGATTTGACAATGTGAAGTGACCAGGATGTGTGTGTTATCACAGTATTCATGCCTGCCCTGACATCAAGTACGGGAAAAAGATCCATGTCCTCCCTATAGATGACACCATCGCGGGCCTGACAGGAAACCTCTTTGACGTTTTCCTCAAACCGTATTTTCTGGAGGCTTACCGGCCCATACATACAGGTACTGCAACTCCATCATACCACAGTAAAACAGCTGTGTTTTATACTATGATCGGGTCGTCACCTCACCATCATCTAGACTAGAGCACCCGTACATGTCCCTTTGTGTGGTGACTTTTGTTTTACCTGTGTTGCCAGGTGACATCTTCTTGGTGCGGGGGAGCATGCGGGGGGTGGAGTTCAAGGTGGTGGAGACTGACCCCAGCCCTCACTGCATCGTTGCCCCAGACACTGTCATCTACTGCGAGGGGGAGCCAATCAAAAGGGAGGTCTGTGAGAGATTAAGATTGTGTGCCAGCTCTATACTACAATGCTGATTTAATTTGAATTTTTTAATATTAGTTTGGTATGTTATAACAGGAAATGATCCGAGGCATATATACCTACAGACAGGTCTGAATCTTGCATATTGCCTTGTGACAGGACGAGGAGGAGAGCCTAAATGACATCGGCTACGACGACATCGGAGGCTGTCGGAAGCAGCTTGCCCAGATCAAAGAGATGGTGGAGCTTCCTCTGAGACACCCTGGCCTTTTCAAGGCTATAGGAGTTAAGGTGTCCTACAGAAACACACAGAAACACTGACCCCATCCACTCTTATGTCTGCTTCCTTTAATTCTTACATTATCTTATAATGACTCAGTGTGTTGTTCCCTCTTTCAGCCCCCCAGAGGTATCCTGCTGTACGGCCCTGCAGGCACAGGGAAGACCCTGGTGGCCCGGGCTGTAGCCAATGAAACTGGTGCCTTCTTCTTCCTCATCAATGGTAAGGCTTTCTTTTCACGCAGTGGCACGGTGAGATCATTTGTACAGGAAGGGAGGAAAGATTAGCTGATCCTGCTCTTGCAAAGTGAAAAAAACTTTGAAAATAAGGTATACAGAGTTACTGATTGGAAATTCCAATTCACTCATCGGCGTTCTTATTTATAGATCTGTGTGGGAGGAAATGTGTTGTACATGCTGTGCATTACTCTGTGACAAGGTCCTGAGATCATGAGTAAGCTGGCGGGAGAGTCAGAGAGCAACCTAAGAAAGGCGTTTGAGGAGGCAGAGAAAAACGCTCCCGCCATCATCTTTATTGATGAGCTGGATGCCATCGCTCCCAAGAGAGAGAAGGTAAACATTGGAGAACAAAATGCATGTACAGATCTGTATGTGCATAAACTCTCTGCAACAACTGTACAATCAAGTGTGCTCTTCTTTTCTCTGAATGCAAGCAAAGGCAAGGAAAAATCCAAAACACTTGCCTTTAACTTTGTGTGTGTGTGTGTGTGTGTGTGTGTGTGTGTGTGTGTGTGTGTGTGTGTGTGTGTAGACCCATGGTGAAGTGGAGAGACGTATAGTCTCTCAGCTCCTGACCCTGATGGACGGCCTGAAGCAAAGAGCTCATGTAGTTGTCATGGCAGCTACAAACCGACCAAATAGCGTGGACCCTGCTCTGAGACGCTTTGGTCAGGACACACACACACACACACACACACACACACACACACACACACACACACAAAAGCGATCACATACAAATGGTGATGTCTCTTTCCAGGCAGGTTTGACCGGGAGATTGACATTGGAATCCCTGATTCCACTGGCAGACTGGAGATTCTGGAGATTCACACCAAAAACATGAAATTGTCTGATGACATCGACCTGGAGAGGGTGAGGAAGTGTAGCAGCCTGGGCCACAATTCTCTGATAACTGAAGCTGTAACAATTAGTTAGTCAACAAAAAGTTTTTTTGAGAGTGCATTCTAAGCGAAAACACCAAACATAACGTAGTTCCAGCTTTTTTTTCTTTGTCTCATGTGATAGTACGTTGGCCACCAATTGAGTTTAATTGACTTCACTCTCATGTTGGTGGAGTCACATTAACATCACTGTATCTGGTTTGTGTTAAAAAAAGGAGCTCTAAACAAAAACGTTACCTTCAGCAATCACACTACCTTTCGATGGCATCCATCCCAATCTTGATATGCATGTGTGCTGTTTAATGAATTCATATCAATGCTATTTAACATATCTCAGATTGCCAAAGATACCCACGGCCATGTAGGCGCCGACATGGCCGCTTTGTGCTCAGAAGCTGCTCTGCAGACAATCCGCAAGAAGATGACCCTCATAGACCTGGAGGACGAATCCATTGACGCTGACCTGCTCAACTCGATGTGTGTCTCCATGGATGACTTCCAGGTACGCACGCACATGCACGCAAATACACACATACTGACTCTTGTTCTTCCAGACCGTATGTGGGTGTATTAATTCCTCAAAGAACACAACTGTGCATCTCGTCATTTGTAACCACACAATAAAAGCCAGACGTGAATATTTCTAAATGATTGAAGAGAGATCCATGTCCTTTCCTCATCACTCATCATGTCCACCCTCAGTGGGCTCTGAGTCAGAGCAACCCTTCAGCTCTGAGAGAAACCCTTGTAGAGGTGCCTCAGGTGAACTGGGCGGACGTCGGAGGACTGGACGAGGTCAAGAGAGAACTGCAAGAGCTTGTTCAGGTGGAAGAAACACTCACACACTCACACCACCAGACTCTGCACATACCTACAAACACATGCCCCATCAACAATCCCATCTATCTTCACTCTCCTCAGTACCCTGTTGAGTACCCGGAGAAGTTCCTGAAGTTTGGTATGACTCCATCTCGTGGAGTATTGTTCTACGGCCCTCCGGGCTGTGGGAAAACCCTGCTGGCTAAGGCTATCGCCAACGAGTGCCAGGCAAACTTTATCTCCATCAAAGGACCCGAGATGCTCACCATGTGGTTTGGAGAATCAGAGGCAAATGTCAGAGACGTGTTTGATAAGGTGAGAGCAGAGAAATGGAAAAGAAATGTGATTATTGGAGGATAGACATTTGTTTCTCACTGTAACCTCGCTGACCTTCTCTGTCTCCAGGCCAGACAGGCAGCCCCCTGCATCTTGTTTTTCGACGAGTTAGACTCCATTGCCAAATCCAGAGGAGGCGGAGGTGGAGATGGAAGTGGTGCAGCTGACAGAGTCATCAACCAGATACTCACAGAGATGGATGGCATGTCGGACAAAAAAAATGTTTTCATTATCGGTGCCACAAACAGGTGCACATGTGGGAATTTGTATTTAATGACTGTGGTTAGAGAGGGCAGCACACTGGAAGTAATGATTCTTATCTCGCTTCCTCTTCTCCTCTTGTCACACCAGACCTGACATCATCGACTCTGCCATCCTGCGGCCGGGCCGCTTAGACCAGCTCATCTACATCCCGCTCCCAGACAAACTATCTCGCACAGCGATCCTGAACGCCAACCTGCGCAAGTCCCCTGTCGCACGGGTTAGTGAAACACACACATATATGGAGATGAATTTCTCTGTAACATATCTTCCTCATGTACGCAAGAGAGAGAGAGAGAGAGAACAGAAAATGAAACGTTGGTCTGCCCCTTTATACAAATTTCATTTGGGACAATAAAGTCCATATCTTATCTTAGATGATGGTGGTAAAATGTATTTAAGTATTCATTGTGATGAATGTTCCTCTTTCTCTTTGCCTTTGCTCCTCCTTTCTCTTCTTCCTGTAGGACGTGAACCTGGACTACCTGTCTGGCATCACAGAGGGTTTCTCCGGAGCTGACCTGACAGAGATCTGCCAGCGGGCCTGTAAGCTGGCCATCCGTGAGGCCATCGAGGCCGAGATCAAGGCTGAGCGTCAGAGGCAGAACAAACCAGACATCCCCATGGTCAGACTGCCGGGCTGTTACGGCGCTGCGTACATGCTTATTTACACCGTACTATAATGTATTCAACAGGAGACTGATAGTTGTGTCTCTCTGACTTTTTCTAACACACACACACATGCACCACTCCTCAAAGCAGTACCAGGCTGTGTGTGTGTGTGCTTGGTCCATAAAGAGACTGTGGAAGATAAAAAAGTTCCCCAAAGGGCGGCTGTGGGTTTTGTAATTCTCAGCCCTTGGACTGGGAACACACACACACACACACACACACACACACACACACACACACACACA